GGGGATGCGGACATTTGGCAATGTCTGGCAACATTCTTGGTTGTCACAGTATGGGCTATGGGAAAGGGGAGCTGCTTTTATCTAGGGAGTAGAAACCAGGGATGCAGCTAAACAACCCCCACAAGAAAGAATCACGTGGCCCCAAATGTCAGTAGTACCAAGGACTGGAAACCTGGCCTCAGGTCTAATCTCTTTACCACATTGGCCTTGGAAGGCTTTACTGAACACCCCAGGCTGGGTTAGACATCTCTGCTTTCAATAGTTCTTATCAGTGCCATCTATAAGAATCTGTCTTCCGTTAGATCCTGTGTTCCTTCAGGGCAGAGACCTTTTATCACCAGGGTCTGGCACATAGTAGGTGCTCAATAAAGTAGTGGAGCTTTCTCTCTGCCATCCTAATTGATACAACCTACTCTGCTTGTAAAAGAAACCCCAAATCTCAGCTAGGCACAGTTAACTGGAATAAAAATTACATTTCCCAGCCTTTCTTACAATTACATAAGGTAATATGACTAAGTCATGCCCAGTAGAAAGCAAGAAATGCTACCCGGAAGCTTATAGGAAACATTCTCAAAGGATATTAAATGTCCCCTCTTGGACACACAGCCCCTCTCCATCTCACTGTTTTGAATGTGGAGGAAGGGACGGGAGCTCCAGCCCAAGCCATGGGGACGATGGGACACAGCCGGACACGGTCAAGGACAGATGGCTCCAGAGCAAGATGATCAGCCCTGGGCCGCCTTCCCTCACACAGCAGCCATGATTTTCTTTGAAATCTTTATTATTTTGGATCTCCTATATTTGCAATAAAAATATCTAATCCAAGTTAATAAGTGATTTAATATACAGTGTCTACTTTTTGTTACCAATTGTCACATCCTCCAGGAAAGCACAGATTTTGCTTTATTTATGTTCTTGCTCTGCTTCCATTCATTCATCACAGACAAAACTTGAAACCCAGTGCTCCCCTGGCTGCTTTCCTTTTACACCTTGTTTTGCCCTGTCACTTTTACCCCTGCTCTATTCCATTCCCCTTCTCCAGCTAAGGGGCTCAGCCATTTTATCTCTTCAGTATCATTTGTAAAGATCCATTTTTTTCAAGCAGATGTGTTATTAGCCCACGTCTGCACTTCACAATGATTAATTGTGGGGAGTTGGTACTTCCCCACCCCTGCCTTCCACCTCTTGGTCTCCTTTTTTTTTTCTGTCCCAGGAACTGAACTCAGGACCTTGTGCTTGCCAGACAGGCTGTATACTGCTGAGCTACATCCCCAGCCCCTCTTCTTCACTTTTTTTTTTTTTCTTTTCTTGAGACAGGGTCTCACTATGTAGTTCAGGTTGGCCTTGAACTCACTGTGTAGCTGAGGCTGGTCTTGAACTCGCTGCGATCCTCCTGCCTCAGCCTCCCAAGCGCTGGGATTACAGGCCTGTGTCACCACACCTGGCCCTCCTTCACTTTTATCACCTAGATCTACAGAGACTGGTCTACTGCCTTCACAAAGGACAAGCAATGAGAAGTCAGCAGACTTGTTCTCTAGTAACTTCAAGGAAAAAAATTTTAATATTTATAAAATTTTTCTAGAATATTTCAATCCAACCTACTAGAGCTCAGATAATCCCAATTAGTGTACCATTAATTATACATGCTTTTAAAGTCTTCATAATTTTTTTTCTTTTTAAGTCTTCATAATTTTTAACAAATACTGTCATTCTCTTGATTTGCTTGTAAAGTTCTTGTTTTCTTTAAATTTTAGAAAACCTTCAAGTGGATGTTTAGTTATCTTTCTCTGTTAATCCTGTAAAATACAAGAACTTAAAAATTTCAAAGTGACAAAGATTCTTAGCGGCTGCAAACTGTAAGCTCCTGAACCTTCTCCTAGGCCCATCTTTCTTTATAAAATCCATTTCTAGCCAGGGATTTAGCTCAGTGGTTCCGGCATCTGACTCACAAGTGCAAGGATCCAAGTTGGATCCCCGGTACCAAAAAAAAAAATCCATTTCTAGCAAAGAACCCTGATAATAGGGCTGGGGATTTAGCTCAGTGGTTCCGCCACCTGCCTCGCAAGCACAAGGTCCCAAGTTCGATCCCCAGTACCAAAAAAAAAAAATGCCAAGGAACCCTGATAAGATATTTTAGCAAACTACCCCCTCAATACATGATTGGGTATCTGATCTCTCTTTCACACACGAGAGAGAGAGAGAGAGAGAGAGAGAGAGAGAGAGAGAGAGACAGAGAGAGAGACAGAGAGACAGAGAGAGAGAAAGAGACAGAGTGAGAGACAGAGAGAGAGAGAGAGACAGAGAGAGAGAGAGGAGACTGCCCCTCCACGTGGAATTGGGCAACTATGAGTTAACTGTGTTATTAGGCAACTGTGGGTTAACTAGGTAACTATGCTCTTTGTAGAATGTACCTGAGCAGCCACGACAGCTTCTGTAATCTGTCACCAAAGGAGCGTAAGGGACTCAGAAAGTCCTGCCAGAGCTCTTTGCTCTCCCCCTCTCCGCTGCTCTGCTTTGTGTAAATCCTGCTTGCTCTATTCCCAAGGGAACTCCAATGGAATTAAGCTTTGTAGATGTAAAAAGAGGCATATAAAGTGCACACTTCTATTTGGGGCTCTCAAGACTAACAGGAGTCACAGGAGTCACTTGCTGAGCTGCCAGCATCATTAAAAGCCACTTTTTGCTCCTATCTTCATGTTAAAAGATTTGTCTGTGCTGGGGTCCTGATTGTTTCCTGCTTTATACACACACACACACACACACACACACACACACGCACACACGCACACACACACACACACACGATGTCTAATTACCCTGGCTTGTCGTCAGCAAGAATCCTGTTAGGTCCCTTTAGCCTTTTCCTTACCCCGATCTGTTCCCTTAGTAACTTTCCACCCACTCTTCCTTGGGTATAAATTCCCACTGGCCCATGCAGCATTCAGAGTTAAACTCAATCTGTCTCTTACTCCGAGACTCCTTTACAGGGGTCACTGTATCTACCGTGCTGGTCTTGAATGAAGATTGACTTCTGGTGCTTTAACAAGTATCACTGAACAGTTGTTTCCTTTAGCAAAACTAAATTCTATTTTGGAAATTTAAAAAATATATATTGTAAATTTTTAAAATTATTAATCATCCTACTAGTCTCCAAATATCTCCATTTTTAAAAACTTTCCTGTATTATTTTCTCCTATTTTATTTTATTTTATTTTCAGTAGATCCTTTAAGACTGAGTTTAGACTCCAATCAGAGGCACTCTACTCCTGTTTTATCTTGGAACTCTGGCAAGAGTCTGTTTCAGGGCCGGGGATTTAGTTCAGTGGTTCTGCCACCTGCCTTGCAGGTGCAAGGACCTGAGTTTGATCCCCAGTATCAAAAAAGAAAAAAAAGAGTTTGTTTCAGAAAGGGGTACAAATGCCATTTTTCAATTTAATTTTTAAGTTTCAAAACACATTCATACACTTTCAGAAAGGTGAAAAATAAAAGCTATGAGAATACTAAATGCTGGCAACTGGAGCACATTTACTTATGCATAGTACAGCTATGCATGAATGGTACAGCTATACATGAATGATACAGACACTTTGGAAAACTGTAAGACAGTATCTGTTAAAGTTTATAAAGTAGCCATGCAGGGAGCAAGTCTATAATTCCCACACTCTGGGAGTCAGGAGCAATTTCCAGCCCGGCCTGGGCAATTTAGCAATTTACTGAGACCCTGTCTCAAAATAAAAAAAATACAAGGACTGGGGAAGTAGCTCAATGTGAAAGTTTTTGGTTCGATTTACAATACAGAGAAAAAATAAAAGAAAAAAAGAAAAAAGCTTTTAAAGAGTGTTTGTGTATCAGGTCTGTGCGTATATGCATACCTGGCATATGATCCAGTAACTCTACTCATTAGTGTATACCCAAAAGAAAGGAACGCTTACCGCTACCAAAAGTAATATCCAACTTTATCTAGGATGGCACAAAACTGGAAATAATTCAAATAGCTACTGGAGGAATGGATAAATTGTGGTTTATGTACTGGAACATCAACGAAGGAGCTATGGCTAATTTATGTAACATGGATCAGTGTCAACAACTAAGACTGAAGGAAGGAAGCCAGGCACAGAAGATTACGCAAGCACGACTGCATTTATATGAAGTCCGCGTGTCAGCAAAGCTAATCCATGGTGACAGGGGTCTGGGGTAGTGGCTGTTCTGGGATTGAAGAGGATGTTTGCAAAAGGAGTATGAAGAAGACTCTTCAGTGCTGGACATGGCAATTACAGAGTATATGAAGTTCATCAAGCTGTATGCTGAATATGTTTATTTCCTATGTAAAACTTTAATTTAAAAAATTCATATAGTAGCAAGAATTTTGGAATAAGCACAGGAAGAGTCTAGTCATGGTTCTGTGATGCATAATTTTTTTTTTTTTGGTACGTGGGATGGAACTCAGGTCCTTGCACTTGCAAGGCAGGTGGCAGAACCACTGACCTAAATCCCTGGCCCATGTGACACATAATTTTTGACAAAGCACTTCCTGGTATTAACCTTGAACCACACAAAAGCCAACTAGAAGTACCTAAAAATCAAAAATCAGAAGTCACCATGCTGAATGAGAGACATTCAGCCTCAGGCCTGAGGTCAGTGAAAAAGGCCTTTCACTGCCTGCAAACTGGGTTTGCATCCATCAAGTAAATATAAGGCTGGGGACGTAACTTGGTGGTAGAGTTTGCCTAGCATGCGCGAGTACCTGGCTTCAGTATGTAGTATGCAAAATAAGTAAAGGACAACATATAAATGAACAAATGAATTACATAAATGGAAAAATATACAATGAGCTGGTAGAGAATTAACCACAAAAACCTGATCTAGACAAGATTTAGGATTCATATATATAAAATTTATAGACACATACATGCACACACATGTGCATACACACATGCATATATACATACCTTGATTAGCTGAATGTAGGGTAAAAATAAAAAATCATAACTGCTACTCACTTTGACAGAGACACTCCCCCTGCTTTCCCTATCATCTCTTCGTGGTGCAGTACTGAGTGGTTCCAAGGAACATGGAGGAACTTCAAGAGCGTTCTCATCCACCGCTCAGGATGCAGGACGAGCTGCTCATAGTGAACCAACATGCATTTTTTATAACCAACCTCCATGCACTGGTTATACATGGTCTCTATGGCACGATTCCATTTGGTCAAACAGTCTCTGTAGCTGTTCAGGTCAAATCCAGCTATAGTAACTTTTCGAGAAATCATTGAATGGACTGATGCCCGGCCATCTCGGACCATCAGGAGAAACTTGGCATTGGGGAATAACCTAGCAAGGTATGTTAAGGATTTCAGGGCAAACGGATCTTTGTTACATAGATAAGGGGCTGGCTCCCCATGCTTGACGATGATTTCTAGTAAGAAGGCTTGCATGGCGGAATCCAGCACTTCATCGGTGACCCCAGCCTCATCCAAGCGAATCTTCTCCTTACTGGACCGTGACCACATCTGCTTCAGGGCCAGGATGCGAGGGATGACCCTGGTTTCCTCTCCGCAGCGGATGTCCGGGTGTGCGTCCAGCATGGCCCTCATGAGAGTGGTTCCACTCCGAGGCACACCGCCGATAAATATTAAAGGCATATCTTTGTGGTAGGCAAAGGTCTTGTTGGCTTTGAGGTCCGGGCCAGTCCGCACAGTCGACTTCACGCTCTCTGGCTTAACGGGCGGGCTCCGTTCCTCTATGCGGTGATGGCATTCCATGGCATGCTGGCCCAGGTAAAACACGGTCACAGAGCTAATCACCAGACAGGCCAAGAGTAAGTTCTGCTTCAGTTTTCCAACCATCTTGGTGTGATTATCTTGTTAGTAAACAGATATTGTGCTCAAAATGATTTCCAAAAAAGGTTCAGGCCATGGAGATTCTACTTGAGCAAGATGATCCACATCTAGTAAGAGAAGGAAAAAGGCCCTTTTACCATTATATTATAATTGTTTACAAATTAGTCATCAGTTACCACCATGGCATTGCAGCTAGAAAGAAGCTGAAGCAGTCTTGGATTGATATCTTAGAACACAATATACACAAATATAAAAATAAGTCAGTGTTTATAATCAGAAACAGCTTTTCTTAATGCAACAAATCTGAAGCTTTGCATCTGGAACAGAATGGAAAAAATAAATAAAACTATTCTCAGGGAGTCAAGCAGATCTTTAATGTACCCACAAGTCTGGAGTCCACCCCAAGGCTGATCACTTGCACTCACGTTCACTTTGCTGCCTAACAGTCACTATCTCCACATTCCAATGTAAAGAGAATTCACTGAAGAAATACCAGATACAGCTTCCAAATTTTTCTTTTTTTTTTTGGTACCGGGAATCGAACTCAAGTCCTTGCGCTTGCGCAGCAGGTGGCAAAACCACTGAGCTAAATCCCCGGCCCAAGCTTCCAAATTTCTAATGGAAATCCAATGTATTCACCCTACAACTTAATTCAGGTACCGCACACTAGAGAGCTAGGTTTGACTGAGGACTGTATCTTTGGCACAGACAGGTGTGTAAGCAAGGACAACGAGATGTGACCAATGCCTCAAGACAAATACACGAGGAGGCAATGGAAGCACAAAAACAGGGCCGTGTACACCATGTCCATCTGAGGGATCCTGCAAAGCTGTATACAAACCAAGGGGGAGGAGGCGTGGGGGTTTACACCTGCAATCCCAGCTACTCAGGAAGCTGAGGCAGGAAGATGGAAAGCTTGAGACAAGTCTAGGTAACTTAGTGACCCTGTCCCCAGATGTAAAAAATTTTAAAGGGCTGGGGATGTAGCTCAGTGCTACAGAGCTTACCAGGCATGTGCAAGGCCCTGGGCTCGCTAAGCAATACTGGGGGGAGAAAAAACCAAAAACAAAATAGCAGAAAAGAGTATTGTAAGCTGACACACAGGCATGAGAGAACCTGGCACGAGCAGGTGACAGGAAGTAGCCCTGGAGAGCCTCGAGTAGCCTGTGACGGGGCCTTGGAGGGAGGGTAAGATCTGGGCACACCAGGCTCCCCAAGCTGCAGATGCAGGTGGGCCAAACCACTGGCCACACACTGGGAAGCAGACAGCAACCAAAATACATTTAGATTTTAAAATTTCCCCTTGCCGGGGATTTAGCTCAGTGGTTCCACTGCCTGTCTCGCAAGCACAAGGTCCCGAGTTTGATCCCCAGTACCAAAAAAAAAAAAATTCCCCTGAATCCTCACAAGTGTGGTGGTTAATTTTCTGTGTCAACTTGACTAGGTGGTCAGTTGTTTGGTCAAACATCAGTCTAAATATTGCTGCGAAATAATTTATTTAGATGTGATGAGTATTGAAATCCACAGATTAGGAGTCAAGCAGATTCTCCTACATAATACAGGAGGGCCTCATCCAACAATTAAGAGAAAACCCTGAGGTTTCCTGGAAGAGAAGGAACTCATCTCCAGACTACAACCCAGGAACGCTGCCTGAGTTTCCGAGCTGCTGACCTGCAGAATTTGGAGTCAAGACCACAACACCTTCCTGACTGCCCTGTGGATTTCAGACTTGCCAGGTCCACAATCGCATGAGCCAATTCCTTAAAATCAACTCCTGCCCTTCCCTTACCCTCCTGCACGCTGTGATCCTACACAGGATGGAGGTTCTGTGTTTCTGAAGAGTCCTAACACACTAAGTCCACCTGGGGCAATGACCGACTGGACTAGAAAAATACATTCTGAGCAACAGACTTCCAGGTCTGGCCCAGTGAGAATGTAATAGGCCTTGCCTCTCCCTAAAGCCAGTTATAAAGCTGGATGAAACTGACAACCTTTTCAGTGCTCTGGAAATCAAAGGGTTCTAACAGCCTAAGAATCAGTCGTGCTTGAAAACTGTAAAAGTTGGAGGGGCTGGGGATTTAGCTCAGTGGTTCCACTGCCTGCCCTGAAAGCACAAAGACCTGAGTTCGATCCCCGGTACCAAAAAAAAAAATTTGTGAAAGTTGGCTAAAAACGATGTCTGTATAGGGACACTCCCACCTTGCCACCTACCTACTCAGCAGGTCCAGAGATCCTGCAGGCATAGGCAGGGCAAGATAAACCATGAGGACCAGTGGGTTGGAGCTGGGGTGGAGGGATTTGCTGCACTGGGGACAGTGCACAACACACACCCCCTGCTTGGACAGTCAGTGTAAGTGATGGACCAGGGGGCAGGCGAGCAAGAAGGAAAATGCTTCTACAGGCTAAGGTTGCATCGTGGTTGGGACAAGTTTGTGGTCAACCCTGAGGCTGCACACAGGTACAAAGGAGACACAAAAGGATGCAGTGGAAAGTAAAAACCAGGGCAGATCTGAAAACAGCCTCAACTGCGAATACACTCCCTACCCACACTCTGGCAAGCACCTGAGCACTAAGCTACAGGAACAAGGGGAGGACTCCTAGGAAGCCAGGCTTCAATGTGAAAGTTACACAAGTACATATATACTTTATTTAAAAGTTGTTTATAGGGCCGGGGATTTAGCTCTGTAGTTTCACTGCCTGCCGCACAATCGCAAGGACCTGAGTTCGATCCCCGGTTACAAAAAAAAAAGTTGTTTAAATATAAACTAGTATAAAGCATGTATATGTATGTGGGGGGGAGCATTTGTATTTGGGCGTATATGTGACATCTGCATACATCTATATGAAATATCCACACAAGGGTACTTGATAGCAACACAAAGCAGGGGACAGAAGCAAGGATTTAAATGCAAAAAGGCCCAAAGGAGCTCTGTGCTCTAACTGAAATGTTCTAAACCTGGACTGTTGTCACAGTTGCACAACTCTCTAAAATCTAATAAAAATCATTGAGTCATACACTTATAATGGGTGAGTTTTATGATATATAAATCACACCTCAATACAGCTGGTTTTAGAAAGAAAATACATTACTAGAAAAATATTTTAATGGTCCCTATAGGATATGCCAACCAAGATCTGTTTTTTGTTTATTCATGTATTCACTCCTGTTGTTACATATTTGATCTTATTATTGTGCCAGGCATTGCATAAAGTTTCAATCAAGACTCAAGAATCACAAAGAATAAGCTGAGATTAAAAGACTGGTTTAATAAGAAAAAGATTGCCCAAAAAGTGTTAAATGAGATAACTGGTAGCAATACGGCACTGAAAGGTACAAACAGAAAACGGTATCTATAATACAGAAGACACACTGAAGCTGTTATTCCAGTATTCAACTGGAAAGAGAATAGGTGGGAACAAAAAACAATGGCAAGAAAAGACAGTAAATAAAAAAACAGAATTGAGATTCAACCCTGGAACAGTAATATATTGAAGAAACTAAAACCACACTACAAGCACGTGCATGTGCACACACGCACACACACACACAGTGTAAAAATAAACTCTCTTGAATTTCCTGGACTAGAAAAGACAGTTGATAGAGCTGAGGGTCTGTGTTTCAGGCATAACAAGGGAAAACTCCAACTGGACATACCCTGCAATTTAAATATGTAGGAAATAGATTTTCAGGCTTCCAAACAAGAACCAAAGGACCAAATAACAAACTGGCATTAGATGTCCCTAGTATATTAAATGCTTGTTCTCTGGTTTCCGTGTGTGTGTGTGCATGTATTCTTTATATGCCATAATGAACACGTTACTTTTGTAACTGTGAAAAGATAAATCAATATTTTAAAAATAGGAACAATCTGTCTTTTAAAATGCCAGTTAGGCTAGGATTTGAAGAATGAGTAGGAGTTAGGCAGTATGAAGGGAAGAGCATTCCAAACAAAAGTAAATGGATATGGCAAAGTGCCTATCATGAAAAGGCATTTTAAAGCTTTCCAGAAGAAGCAGGTGAAAGGAGGGAGGGAGAGAGGGAGAGAGGGAGAGAGGGAGAGAGGGAGAGAGGGAGAGAGGGAGGGAGGGAGGGAGAGAGAGAGAGAGAGAGAGAAAGAAAGAAAGAGAGAAGCAGGTAAGCCAAGGTAGGGGCAAAGCAGTGGAAAATGGATGAGAATTGGTATCATATGCATCAAGTTCAGGATATGAAATTTTATGACACAAGAAATTTATGTCACAGCTTTGATATAAAATGTCCCCCCAAAGCCACCTGTGTGTGGAAGGTGACTGGATCACAGGGGCACTATACTCACCAATGGATTCATCCACTGATGAGTTCAGGAGCTGAATGTGCTGTTAAGAGGTGGGGCCTAGGGCCGGGGATTTAGCTCAGTGGTTTCGCCACCTGCTGCACAAGCGCAAGGACCCAAGTTTGATCCCCGGTACCAAAAAAAAAGAGGTGTGGCCTGGCTGGAGGTGGTCACTGAGGTGTGACCTGGGTGTATTCTTGTCCCTACTTCCTCCCTTTGTTCTCTGCTTCCTGGCTGTAATGGGTTGGGCATCTTTCCTCTGCCATGCCATTTCTTCCATGGAGCCAACCAATCATGGATTGAATCCCCTGAAAATCATGAGCCAAATTCTCTTCCTTTAAATTGTTGGTGTTGGGTATTTTATCTCAGCAATGGAAAAGTGATCAATACAGAAAAGTGGGGGGATGGGGTACCTGACCATGTAGCTCAGAGGTCTTTGGGATTTGTTTGGAGAAGCAGGCTAGAGGACCCCCTTGAATGCTGTAAACAGAGTTTGATGAGTGATCCTAGTCAGAGCTCAAAGACCAGAATGCTGATAGGAATGTAGACGGTGAAGGCCAGACTCAGAAGTTTTCATTTGAAAACAAGGACTCTATTGGCAATTGGACTAGATGCCATGTGTATTAAACTCCAGCAGAAAAACTGTCTTCATTTTGCCCATGTCCTCAGACTGCAGGAGACTGAGATTAAGGGCAA